CCTTTAAAATAACCAGCAATGGGAAATCAGATAGGCTGGACCAGCCTTCTTATTAGGAACAGCTAGAAAAAAAGCTAGACAATATAAGAAAATATGTATTTCAAGGCATCAGAAAACTACCAAGGAAATGAGAGATTATGGGACTATGGTCCAGGAGAGGAAGGCAGTCCAGAGATAATCTCAGCTTTTGGGACCATTTTTCATCCTAGACTGTAAATATCTACCTATTCTGAACGTGAGAGGATAGGAAGCTGAGGAGAGCTTTTCAACAAACTCATAGGGATGAGGGGACAAAGACTGGAGCCCTGTCAAGGAGGTGGTACCCTGGCAAATATCCCAGTCTTTGTGTTGGGACCCCGGGGTAAGGGTGAATCAGACCCTCAACTTATTTCCTGCAGTTTTATTATTATTTTTTTAATGTTTGGCCCCCAGTTTAAAAAGCTAGACATATAAGAAAAGAAAATGTGACTAAAACCAAGAAAAGCAGACTCAGAGGGTATGCAATTAATATCAGAGATGGACTTTAAAGTAACTATGACGATTACATCACCGAATTAATAGTCAAGATTGAGAATTTCAGCACAAAACTAGATGTGCTGGACTTAAAAACCTAAAAAAAGAATTAAATGGAAATTCTAGAACTGAAAAACACAAGAAAAATAAAAGACTCAGTGGATGGGCGTAACATCAGCAAGAAAGGAGAAAATTTATTATAACATTTTGCATCACACAAAATACATCTCACCCCTCCCACCCCGCAAAAATCCTTCAAATTACAATTGAATTGCACACTGAGTAGTATCCTCAAGTATAATCTTTATTATGCAGTGAGAGTGTACTGAAATCCACCTGAACCTCAGGAGCAGATTATATAAATAGTGAGACACATATTCACCATGTAAAGTTCTAGTATGTTATTGGAATAGAGGTATACTAGAATTGGATGAAGAAGTTAGGGAAGAGTATCCACAGGTTAAAGCATGAGAACTGAGAAGGACTGGTATAGAAGTCATAGCAGGTTTAATTCTCGGAGTGGAAATTATATTTGAGAGAGCTGGAATTTCAGTTCTATGCATGTATGTAAGGTTTATACTTAGTTGTGATTTGCTCCCCTTAAATCCTAACAGTACAAGAGGTGCTTAATTCACATAGTATCTTCACTTGTCTTTTACAATTTGTCTTTTCTATTTCATGTACTGTCCTTTTTTTTTTTTTTTTTTTTTTGTGTGGGGGGGCCCTTCTTTTTTTTGCTTTCCCCTTTTGGGGGCACCGGCCCCCGGGTCCACGGCCCAGCGGCC